AAACATTCTTGTAAAGTTTTGTACTTACGATACAATTTTTTTCTTTCCAAAATGTTAAAGTACATTAACCTTTTATCTCAGTGTATACTAAACAAGAAGTATCTTTTTTTAAAGAGATACTCGGCCGAAGTAAAACTGGTTAACTTGCATAATTATGTTATTTAGTTTTTAGTTTTCTATGCAAAATCATGTAGAAATGTTAGCATAGCTTGCATAACAATGACATAATGATTTTTATATAGGGTTAATGATCTTGAAAAATGAAACACTTTAAGATGTATGTGTTTTTAAACGAACCTGTCGTGTTTCGGTTAGTGAATTCAATTTTTAACACCAACATCTACGCAGTCGGTAAAGCAAATATTTTTATAAATACTTGATTAATATGCAAAACTACTTGAACAATATAAACATTTTATCATTTGAACACATAAATAATCATATAATATATTAGACACTTGTTGAACTTCATAAACTAAATTAGGGTACCTGAAAAGTTCTGATTTTATTCACGTTATTTTGGACAAAATTTTAAACTCAGATCTTGTGTAAAATAAACTCAGTAAGTTCTTACGTAAAACTAACTGTTCACTAGAAAACTTAATGAGATATGAATGCAGTGCAAATTGTTTTGTGGGAGAATGTACCGGGTATATTACACAGAACTTAAATATCTGAACATTTTAACTAAAATGTTAAAAAAAACTATCCTGTACAATTTATATTAGAACTATCCTGTACATTTTATATTAGAACTATCCTGTACATTTTATATTAGAACTATCATTTACATTTTAATTTGTAATATCTTAGAATGACAAGATTTTAACTATCCTTTATATATCTTATTTTAGAATGGCCAATGAGATTCCCAGATTTCATTTTTGTAATTTTAGAATGACCAATGAAAATTCTTCTGACGTTCAATTCTTCCATTATTGTAAAGTCAAACCAAACAGATTTTGGACCGGCATTTGGCCGGAAAAGACTAACTAAATCAATCATTTTTCAAAGTTAAGTATTTGTTCAATGAAAAAAGGAAAGTAACTACAGGGATAGTCAACTAATCCTTAATTGTCTAATAATGAAATGATAAGCCTACTTTTTTCCATGAATACATTTTTCAAAGCACTTATTTTTTCAAATATATAATGTAGTTAGAAATGAGTCATTTGCTTCCAGTGGTGTGCCACTGGTGCCCTGACCTGACATTTATTGCATATCATTGTAAAAGTGATAACAAAACAACAGGTGGTACGTTTTGATGAATGAGCATAATTTACGCTTGACAAGTGAAAGGTCAAGTAATATATCATACCTTGAAGTAAAACTGTTTGAAATGATAATTCATGATTTAATGTCATAACTGTAATAAATGATTATCACTGTACCCTTTAAACATGTTAAATCTAATGAGAAAATTGAATTAATTTTAGGTACCAGTTTGCTTATCTTTTGAAATGTTCTTTCAAAAATTTAGTATACAAGTTGTTATAAAACTGAATTTAAAAAAAGAGTCACATAAAGACTTGCTTTTATTTTCAGTTCGTCTCATATAGAAGTCGATTGTGCTTGCTGTATGTGGGTATGATATGTATAAACATATAAGTTTTCATTAATTTAAACATTTGTTTTTGTCTAACATTTCAAAATTCACATATTTTAAAGCGTTTCAAGTAAATTTCAAAATTCACATATCTTAGCTATATCATAGTTATTCAAGCGATGAAAATGAAATTTTATATATACATGTATTATAATGTTTCAAAATGTATCCGGTTTGACAAAAATATACAATACTGGAACTAAAACTGAAAGTTAAACTGATCGTATTATGGTTTTTGCGACATTTTCCGTAATTATATGACGCAATCAGTAGAAAGTACCCAGGTTACACCATCTTCGAAAGAGCTTGAATTGCAAAATACCTGGATATCTTCCTTTCTGGTATATGATATTATCAATCGTTTCTGTTTCACCACGGTAACGTAACACTATCATAGCTTAAAAAACAAAACATTTCATTTTGTGTTATTTTTGTGGACAAAAAGGTTTAAATGATATTTTTTCCTTATGTATTTATGTCATATGGTGATAGTCGATACACATATGTACAGCAGATTTCATTGACAACAAAAAGAAATAAATTATGCCTCCAAATTGCCTTTTTTTTAATTCTCCAATGCTTTTTGATTTTGGTGTATTTTCATGGTATACAAAAAGTTACTCATTGGTCAATTACCTTAACCATTTTTATTTGTTGCTTTTTGGTTATAAGTACAGCTATAGTGTATTAGTATTTTGTATGTAAGTCAAAATATTACTACTTTTTTACATTATGCCACTTTTTTGACGAATTATTTCACACATATATCGCTACTTTCTTCATGTTATAAACACCTAATATTATCTAACACCTAATATTATCTGAAACCATTATTTAAACATTATAAAATTCATATTTGCCCTTTCTAAAGAAAGTAAAACTTTATTTGTTTCTGAGACATAATGTGCCTTTAATGATTTCATACAGTAATAGATGATATGTTACAGTAAGATGAATGCCGGTAGCCATCGATGTATAAAATGTTTGATTATATAAAACATACCCTTTGTGGTACCTGGCTGCAAAACTATGCTGACAGAACTTTATTTATTTAAACTTTTATATTTTTTGTCGACCCGTTTACCCATCGAAAAATAGTTTGGCGCCAAACTATAAATAAAAAGTTTAAGTCAGTAATGTTTGCTTTAAACTGTACAATGTAGTTTCGTTTTCTCTTCGTAGGTAGAAAATATCAAATTGGGCCAAAAGTTCGTTGTAGTATTAAGAGTACTATCTCATTTAGTTTTTTGTACATTTTTATGTAACTACCAATTGAGTCATTCTAAGTGCACGGTAAATTCATATATGAGCCGTGTCACGACAAAACCAACATAGTGCGTTTGCGACCAGCATGGATCCAGACCAGCCTGCGCATCCGCGCAGTCTGATCAGGATCCATGCTATTCGCTATCAGTTTCTCTACTTGTAATAGGGTTTGTGAGCGAACAGCATGGATCCTGATCAGACTGCGCGGATGCGCAGGCTGGTCTGGATCCATGCTTGTCGCAAACCCATTATGTTGGTTTTGTCGTGACGCGGCTCATTTAACAATATGCATTGATAACAATTTAAAAAGAAAATGCTCACATTTGAAATGAATGCGTTATTTTCTAATTGTTTCGTAGTGCACCCATTACTTAGTAGTTCAAATCAAACGGATTATTTTAAAAGCAAGAAGACAAACAGTAAAACAATTGATCTCAAGTATGGTTAATTATATCAGTAATTAAAAATATAAATACAGACACGTATTAGTTGTGAGGGGGAACTGCATTAACTTATTAAGTAATGAACTATTAATATACTGTTGTCTAATGTAAATCAAACATGACTCACTTAAAACACGTTAACTGGGTCATGGAAAATTTGATTAGTGTATTAATAGGATTCATGGAAGTATCATAAAATATTACGGGTATAAACAAGTTCAAGATTGTTTTATTAAAGTGTATTACACACTAGTAGTTTAATATTGACGAATTTAGTCGATTATCTATGGTGGCTTATTTTTGCCATTCGTGTTTTCGCCCCGCGACACCGCTAAGCGAAAAGTCGGAAATTAACAATTTAAAATGGCGGGATGCGCAGCGAAAACACGCAAATAAGCGAGGGTGCGGGGCGAAGTTTAATAAATAAAACTTCGCCCCGCGGGGTTGCGGGTGAGATTTAAGAAATAAAACGGCGGGGCGCGGAGCGAAAACACGCTAATTAGCGCCCCCGATGATAAGCGTGTTTTCGCTCCGAACCCCCGCCATTTTAACTTGAAAATTATCGACTTTTCGCCTGGCGGGGTCGCGGGACGAGAGCACGCTAATTAAAGAGGGCGCGCGGCGAAGTCTTATTTATTTAATTTCGCCCCGCGACTCCGCTAATTATCGTGTTTTCGTCCCGCGACCCCGCCGTTTTATTTCTTAAATCTCGTTCCGCACCCCCGCGGGGCGAAGTTTTATTTATTTAACTTCGCCCCGCGTCCTCGCTAATTAGCGTGTTTTTGCTGCGCGCCCCGCCATTTCAACTTGTCAATTTTCGACTTTTCGCCTGGCGGGGTCGCGCGGCGAAAACACGAATGGCACAAATCAGCCACCATAATTATCCAATAATCTAAATCTATAAAAATTCTTATAGTGCGAGGGCATTTGTAAAGTATGTAATCAGTCTACACCTTTTTTAAAAGTTATTTGGTTCTTTTTACATGTTCGTTTCATGAATATGCATGAAAATAAAAACACTCGGACTAGCAAATATTAATATATTCGGGTTACAAGAAAACGCAGAGCACTAAAAGTAAAAGTGAATACGACAAAGAGTTTGCTTTTTCTGTTTCATTTAAAAAACATGTTCTGTTATTTTAATATAACATCAAACATAACATTTTATAATAAAGAAACAAATGTGTATAAAAATCGTATATACATATATAATAACATTTATGAGATCAAAATTTCATAGAAACATTTTCTTACAATATACACTGGCACATAACAACACATAACAGCACATAACAACACACAAAGAAAACAAGTGGGTTTTTTTTTAACAAAAATATTAAACGCACATAAAAGCCATTTACTTTCATTTAGAGTGCATAATTTGGCACTTTTTGAGCAAAGATCATTGGCAGTCTTATATACATGAATAAATCTATCTTTAAACTAAATAATATTAACTAATATTGCTGCCGTCCGAAAGTTTGAGGTTTTTGTACAAATAGTTCATATTTATCATATTATTGTATAAAAAATGAAATACATTATACCCTTGCTGTTATTAATTATGTACATGTTCTATTCAATATATTATCATTGTCTTTGTATGTAACCATTATTATTTTGTATGGAAGTCAAAATACTACTGTTTACATTTTGCTACTTTAATAACAAATAGCTATCAATTATCACTACTTTTTATACACAATTATCACTACTTTTATACACAATTATCACTACTTTTATCAGGACTGGTATTAAGCATTTAACGTGATGTAAATCGGTTATTTAAACGCTATTTTACTCGTGTTTCCCTTTTTAAAGAAAAAAATTGTTTTATTTTTGAGGCATAGTGTACCTTTAAAATACCTTGTAAGTAAAGCATTTAGGTGCTCTACTAAACTATTAAAATGAAAGTTAAAATCATTTTTGGAAAATTATGTACCATGAAAAGGTTGCAAAATACGTATTATATATTTCTGCATGAATACGTGTTCTTGAATTTAGATGGTATGATATATGTACGTGTTGTAAGTTATGAGCATTTAAAACACAACCTGTTGTTACCAAATATAAAGCCAAAATTCGTATAATGCCTGGTCAGCCAACACATCTGTATAATCTGACAAGGTTCTGCAATTTTCATGTAATTTTGTTTTGATTATTTATTGCTTCCGAGGGATCACACTTTTTCCAGATTTTTATACTTCACAACTGTAGCTTTTAAAGTGTTGTGTGGCAGCTGTAAAAAGTTGTCCCGTACTTCACTTCAGTGTTGTTATATTTTCTGGTCCTTCGTGATCAACATTCGTGAGGGATCTATTCCTCATTAACAGACTCAAGCAAACTGAGTCAGCAATTTTCATGTAATTTTCTTATGGTTAAAGTTTCCAAGGGACCACACTTTTTTCCAGATATCTATCCTGATTGTTGTTCAATTTTTGTATTTTGTTATTGAATACCCTTAAAATTCAAATGGACTGTTCCAAATTCAAAGTCGGCCACATCCATTACACACAATCAGCAGGTTGAAGGTTAAATCTCAAACAAGCCAAAATAATGTTGATGATCTTTAGAAACGAGACCAGGACTATAATCTATTTGCACGTGCAGCGTCGTGGCGACTTCCACTTCTATAACCTTTTGTATAATGAGGTCAGTTTCTGAATTGACGCCATTTCTACATTGATGTTGAACGGATGCTACCGGGACATTCGTGTTGCCTTGTTTTGTCATCACTTTGTACCCAACACTGCTATTCAAGAAATATATAAATTAGTATGTGATAAGTATTGACATATAATAAACTAGTTGTATACTAAATTTAATAAAAGTTTGTTTTACAATAAGATGACATATAAGACATAGTTAAGGCGTACAGTAATTTAGTCATGATAAAATATATTTTGACACGATAAATGAATGTTAAGAAAGCAAGAATATTTATTTATCTTCTTGCAGTTTTCAAAGTTCATCGACACTTTTTTCAGTTGTTTAACATATTACATGCTCTTAATCCATTATTCAAACATTATTTGATACGTCTGACATTTCTAAATAATTAAAAAAAAATATTTCTGAGGCATAAAACCGAAACATGCTCAACACTTACTATGTCCGGTCACATTTTTCGGCTTTAAAACGAACACAGCTGTACAGAAAGTAGACGCCCCCACTTTCTACACGTATCGCGTTATTGTGATGGTTCAGTTTTCCCGCCATTTTCTCAGGAAAACTATGTGTCCACGTCATGGTATGGTGTCGCACTACTTGAAATAAATGATAATTGTTAGAGCAAATAATTCACTTATCTTATAAAAAAATATGCTTATTTGCCTTAAGTCAATACCATTCACCCACCTACTAACTATCCATTGCTATAAAATATCCGAAAGACAAAATGGTTCGTTTTTGTTTCTAGATCTACATGTTTTAGACATACACTTGGAACATACCAAATTCGACGAAATATGTCAATTGTAAAGAAATATATCTTTAAATGTAATCTCCCCTTGATAATTAAGTGGCAGTGATTCAATATTTGTGTTTAGTCCTTACTCTAATGGAACCGACACTGATTAACCTTTTCATCCAAAATGAGTCCGGCCAACCTGCACATTCTTGTATTCTGATCAGGCTCTATAGTGCTGGTAGCTCTTTTTTTTTTAATGTTACTGAAATCCCTTAAACTTTGAATGGACCGTTCCAAAATCAAAACAGGACAAGTCTATTGAAGAAATTCGGCAGGGTCAGGGTTAACAGACTATATTATCTGATAATAAAAAAGTGCCAAACAAACAATGAACAAGGTAGAGCCATACGATCCATGTGACAAAGTCAGCAATTACTGCATTATGTTTACTAGTTATTTTATTAATCAATACATGAGGACGTAATAATGTATTCGTTTTCTTTTCTTGATTTGTTACATAAAGTCAAAGATAAATGCACTGGAATTATGCACCACTTACGTGTTCCAGACAGATGTATGGCCGAACGTTTTCTTGTGAGCAAAGTATTGATCAGCCTGGATACCTTGGTATTCTCTTCATTAGAAACAGTTGATTCATTTGATTGAGTTTGTCTGTTGCCACTTCCAATCATATCTGAAGTAATAAAGGAACCAGTTGATTATTTTATGCAACTCATTGATACGAACCAAAATAAAAATAGATTCATAAAAAAGGTCAGGATGAAAGTCGATCTTTATTTAAGAAATTACAATGAAACATCCATGATATAAATAATTTAGAGAATATGTACACAGACACTCATTCAACTATATGTGAGATTATCTTTGTGCAAATCAATGGATGTTGAACCTACATGCATGTAAAATATCTTCAAAGCAAGTTTTATTATAGAGGCAAGTTAACATACTTACAATTTCTTGTTATTGCATTCCACCGTGTGTTGAGATTCTAAAAAAAGAATGAACGCTTGTATTGTGAGACATTTTACAGATATTATATTTATAATTTATCTTATATCTTAAAACATTAGTAGTTTTCTCGTCACTGTACACTATGACCCTACCGTAAATGAGAATGGTATTCCTTTTAATAATTAAGCCCTGTCACTAATTTTCACTATCTTAAATGATATACTTACTTAAAAAAATGATAGTTATGTTAAATCTAAAAAATTTCAATTTTACAAATGTTATATGTTATAGTCTTACCTTTTCTTGTCTATCCAATACGTTTTCAACTAGTGACACTACGTCGTTTAAGCAACAACCTTTTCCATCTGTTTTGATGAAAATGTTTGATAACTCATATGTTACTCGTTTGCAATCTACACACAAAATATGCTCTTTAATGATATCTTTCGCCTTGTTAGACGATAATTGCTTTTCTGCTATGTTTTCTATAGTTTCTCCTGATGGCACCTCCCCACCGCCGTACATTTTGAAGGTGACTAGAATAAAGGGCATTATGGAAACTACAAACACAATGAGTATTATATTCAATGTGGCCAATGCTACAAACAGCTTCTTCAAACTATTGTAGTTTCTTCTGAGTTTTTCGAATTCTGCATTGTCATTTTGTACTCGTTTTATTATCTTTCTTTCATTTATCATTTGCTGGAGTTGATAGTCTCGTATGTTCTCATCTCTTTCTTTAAAATCACTGGTATCATCACTTAAATCTTCCTTTGAATATTCCATATTCGCATCACGTTTAGCACGTGGTGGTTCAACAACTTCAACAGTTTCGTTTTTGTCATGATTGATGTTTAACGTATACGAATTTTCGTGTTGTCTACCGTCACCTATCCTTCCATTTTGCTGAAGATGCAGATCACAGGTTCTCTGATAATGCAATTGATGAGACTGATTATGTGGTGTTTTCTGAACTATTTGATCGGTGCTATTACACTTTGAGCATGAACGACAGGTTGAACATTTAAGTCCCGAATTAGAAGCTGCAGTTGCGCACTTGCCAATAACTGTTGGCGTTGCATCAGAACTTGAGTGATGACCTGGTTTTTCTTCTAGACAATTCGTACATCCTTGAGCTGCTGCAGCATCACCTCCTTGTTTGCAGGTTTGTCCGTTTCTAAATGTAGAATGATCCGACTCTTTCACGTGTGTTGAACATTCGGCGCAGCTACACGGTCTGGTCGTTTTAGGCTCACAGAAGATGACCGATTCTTTATTTGACGTCTCCGCATGGCAGCAATGTCTAGATACAGACTGATAGTCCATATCCGAAGCAGTTCTTTTGCTTGTAAATTTATCAGCATCAAGAGAGGGTTCAGCTGAATGTTTCTCATGAGGATACCTCTTGATGAGGCCTAAACTTTTTCATTTACACCATTGAGTTAAAGTTGTTATTTAGTAGCATACGTAAATTTACAATGAGTTAGTTGCTATCTTTCAACAGTACTAGTAATGTAATCTTCTATTCCAAAAACTGTTTCTATAAAAAGGTGACTGGGAAAACACCTGTGACTCGATATCTATGTACGTGTATATTAAATTGATATTTTGTACACTTTAATCACTTAAATGATTACTCCATATATAAAATGCTTTAATAAAAGTTTATACAATGTTTAAAAAAAATGACATTAATCCACCAAATCTATCAAGAGATATATTAAACACAAATAATTGAGTGTTTCTCCGGTTTAATTTTATTAATTATCTATTTAGAAGACAATCATATATTACATTTATTTACATATTATTGTATAGATAACACAGTTGATGATATATACGTGATTTAATAATTTGATATAAACTGCATTTGAATTACTTCTTTTTCCAAGGGACTTATTTATTGTATTTTCGGTTTCTATTTTAGGTATATCAGGTTTTTTTGGTGATAAGATATTCACATTGAAGAAAATCCTTTTTTTTTTGTCGTTGCGACTAATCAAAGTTTCTATTACTGATAGAATGATTTGGAACTATTTTTTATATGACGTAATATTTACAAAAATAGGACTTTTCATTGGGTAAACCAGAACGTTATGGTTTCATTTGTAAAGATAGTATTTTAATTATAGTTGTGAAATCAAATGTAGCCTGTGAAAAATTATATTTATATAAACAAACTTTAAAAACAATTGTTGTATGTTAAACAATATAAAACTGTTGTGTTTACATAGAAATTGTTTCATTTCTCAGTGCACAAGAATTTCACTATGTTTGATGTAGATATTTCTAATCCAGGAAGTAAAATGAATAATGTTATAATCACATAACCGTTAAAAATAGTGATAATTGTTCATAAGTCAGAGATAATGTATCTGAATTGTTTAATAAAAAGTAGGGTAATTTTAAAGGAAATAACTTGTAGTTTTAGGTTTTGTTTTGAAACTTACGGTTTCCTAATTAAAAGAAAAAAAACCCAAACAAACAGAAACAAACAAACATATCGTGAACAATTCATTTAATCAAAGATAATTTCTGACGGTGTTTTAATCTGGTCTGATTTATTTTCTTTCTTGTCCTCAAGATGTGATTTCTTCCAGAAAACACATTTTCTTTAAGAACACAATAGAATTGATTACCAACTTAAATGTTGAGCGACTTGTGCATTTAAAGGGAAATAATAATATCAAATATCCTAATTGATTTAATTATGCTTGCAAAAATAGTCTCCCATTTTTCCATATCATGATTATAGTATGAATACTTGAATTACATAGATTCGGTTTTAAGTATGTTCAAGATGGACATTAAGCATTTAATTGTTTTAGAAACGTCACCTTCGCCGCCTATTATATTATCTTAATTGTGATAGATAATAAAATCCTTTCGACAGTCATTCGCACTGTACCTCTGCTCTTGTATATACAGAAGTTTCAGTTCCTTGCGAAAATGAAGGCATCTAGTACTGGTAAACTGCTTGACAGCCTGCCCAGGAACGATGTGGTGGTTGAACTGTGCTCTGGTGAATTCAATGTGGCTTACTGCCGCTATAAACAGAAACACTGCAAGACACTGAAGTGGACTCAGTTGACTCGGGTTGACTTAAGCAAAGGAATAGATAACTGTGAATTTATCCTCAACATATAATTTTGTTCATAGAATATTGTTCAAACAAATGCAGCAATGCTATGCGTTAATTAACTTGAAATCAGCTTTCTTTTTCCTATTTTAAAGCAGAAACAGGTAGCACATTGTTTACTTTTATGCTTAAAATAACTTAATGATGTGATTTTTGTCTAAATCATGGTTTGCTCCATCTTTTAAATGTTATTTTCTGTTCAACAAGCTAGTAAGAAAACATACGCCTGAAACTCTTGAACCTTTATTTTTTCTTTTTTTTTTCTTCTTCAGTTTTTAACATATGATATTGTTAGAAAAGTTCCTGTCTGCTTAACCTTTTCCCTTATATAAGCGTGTTTCGACGGCTTTTTGCCCCCCCCCCCTTTTTGAGGCCTCAAACAGTGAAAAAATGCCCTATTTAGGCCCCAAACACTGTCTTTTGTTTGAGAAATGTTGTTAAAAAAAGTGACCATTTTTTCGGCGCCGTCCCCCATCCAAATATTACATCAGGGGGTTGCCAGAAGGGGGATGTGCCCCCTTCTGTTTGGGGGGTTTGAAGGGGGGCGGAGTCCCCCTCATCGCCAAGAAAATTTTGGACTTGTGAGAGGCTTAAAATGACCCCAGGTCGATCATAAGGTAACGTGTAACCAACGCTGAAAAGCCTTTGACTCTATCTCAATCCCTTGAGGAGTTGCAGCACTTTGAAATAAATTTTGATGGAAAAAATCGAGACAAAAAGTGATGTTTGGCAATTTTGAGATGTCCCCTCGTTGCCATGGTAACAGGAAATTTAAGACTGAGCATGTCGTTACAAAGGCAATGGTCCAGTCAACATTTGTGCCAAGTTTGATTAGTATTGAAGCATTTTTCATAGTTTCATAGCAGTTTGAACTTGTAACAGGAGGCTTTTCAGTGAAAATGGCCATTTTTCACAATATGCTCATGGGGGAAAGGGTTAACTAAAAAAATTATAAATGTTACAAAAACAACAATTTTTCACCAAAATTAGGTAAAAGACCACATGTTAACATGGAAAAACTGGATTTTGGGTGATTCCAAGGTTTTTCATCATTTTTTGTTTTAACCTTTTCCCTTATATAAGCGTGTTTCGACGGCTTTTTGCCCCCCCCCTTTTTGAGGCCTCAAACAGTGAAAAAATGCCCTATTTAGGCCCCAAACACTGTCTTTTGTTTGAGAAATGTTGTTAAAAAAAGTGACCATTTTTTCGGCGCCGTCCCCCATCCAAATATTACATCAGGTGGTTGCCAGAAGGGGGATGTGCCCCCTTCTGTTTGGGGGGTTTGAAGGGGGGCGGAGTCTCCCTCATCGCCAAGAAAATTTTGTACTTGTGAGAGGCTTAAAATGACCCCAGGTCGATCATAAGGTAACGTGTAACCAACGCTGAAAAGCCTTTGACTCTATCTCAATCCCTGAGGAGTTGCAGCACTTTGAAATAAATTTTGATGGAAAAATCGAGACAAAAAAGTGATTTTTGGCAATTTTGAGATGTCCCCTCGTTGCCATGGTAACAGGAAATTTAAGACTGAGCATGTCGTTACAAAGGCAATGGTCCAGTCAACATTTGTGCCAAGTTTGATTAGTATTGAAGCATTTTTCATAGTTTCATAGCAGTTTGAACTTGTAACAGGAGGCTTTTCAGTGAAAATGGCCATTTTTCACAATATGCTCATGGGGGAAAGGGTTAACTAAAAAATTATAAATGTTACAAAACAACAATTTTTCACCAAAATTAGGTAAAAGACCACATGTTAACATGGAAAAACTGGATTTTGGGTGATTCCAAGGTTTTTCATCATTTTTTGTTAACCTTTTCCCTTATATAAGCGTGTTTCGACGGCTTTTTGCCCCCCCCCCCTTTTTGAGGCCTCAAACAGTGAAAAAATGCCCTATTTAGGCCCCCAAACACTGTCTTTTGTTTGAGAAATGTTGTTAAAAAAAGTGACCATTTTTTCGGCGCCGTCCCCCATCCAAATATTACATTCAGGTGGTTGCCAGAAGGGGGATGTGCCCCCTTCTGTTTGGGGGGTTTGAAGGGGGGCGGAGTCTCCCTCATCGCCAAGAAAATTTTGTACTTGTGAGAGGCTTAAAATGACCCCAGGTCGATCATAAGGTAACGTGTAACCAACGCTGAAAAGCCTTTGACTCTATCTCAATCCCCTGAGGAGTTGCAGCACTTTGAAATAAATTTTGATGGAAAAAAATCGAGACAAAAAGTGATTTTTTGGCAATTTTGAGATGTCCCCTCGTTGCCATGGTAACAGGAAATTTAAGACTGAGCATGTCGTTACAAAGGCAATGGTCCAGTCAACATTTGTGCCAAGTTTGATTAGTATTGAAGCATTTTTCATAGTTTCATAGCAGTTTGAACTTGTAACAGGAGGCTTTTCAGTGAAAATGGCCATTTTTCACAATATGCTCATGGGGGAAAGGGTTAATTACATTTAGATTATTTCAAGATTTAAAAAAGACCCCTTAATATATTCGTGAAGTTAACCAGACAGCCGGAACAGCTGGAGCAGCAGAAACAAAGTTCTCCTACTAACCGGAATCCGGTTCCGGCTGAACAGGCTAGCCAGAGAAGATACAGTAAAACCTTTGCAAAAGACCATTAGTTTATTCCATAGTGAGGTTTCAAATAATTTTTTTATGAAAAGTCAATGATTGCTATGGAAAGGTAATGGTTCTCATGGAAAGTCAATGGTTGCTATAGAAAATCAATGGTTGCTATGGAAAGTCACTAGATGTCACAGAATGTCAGTGGTGGCAATTGAAAGTCACTGCTTGCTATGTGAGACACTGATTGCTATAGAAAGTCACTGGTTGCTGTGAAAAGTCTCTAGTTGCTATGGAAGTCAATGGTTGCTAGCGCAAGTCAATGGTTACTATGGAAGTCAGTAGTTGCTAAAGAAAATCAGTGGTTTTGTTGGTTATCGAAAGTCAATGTTTGCTATGGAACATAAATGGTTGCTATGGTAGGTTACTTGATGTCACAGAAAGTTACTGAGTGCGAAAGAAGTCTATGGTGGCAATTGAATCTCACTGCTTGCTATGTGAGACACTGGTTGCTATTGGAAGTCACTGGTTGCTATGGAAGTCAGTGGTTGGTATAGAAGTAAATCGTTGCTAAAGAAAAGTAGTGGTTTATGAAAGTCACTGTTGGTTATGGAAAGTCAATGGTTGCTATGGGAAGTAACTAGATGTCATGGAAAGCCACATACTGCGAAAGAAGTCTATGGTGGCAATTGAGTCTCACTGCTTGCTATGTCAGACACTGGTTGCTTTGTCAGACACTGGTTGCTATGTCAGACACTGGTTGCTATGTCAGACACTGGTTGCTATGTCAGACACTGGTTGCTATGTCAGACACTGGTTGCTATGTCAGACACTGGTTGCTATGGGAAGTCACTGGTTGCTTTGGAAGTCAATGGTAGCTAAGAAATGTGACTGGTTGTTATGGAAATCAATGGTTGCTAGGGAAAATCAATGGTTGCTAAGGAAATCAATAATTGCTAAGTAAAATCTGTGGTTAATAAGTATGAAAGTCACTGGTTCCTATGGAAAGACAATGGTTCTTATGGAAAGTCAATGGTTGCTACGGAAAATCATTGGTTACTATAAAGGAAGTCATTGGATGTCACGGAAAGTTAAAGTCTATGGCGGCAATTTAAAGTCACTGCTTGCTATGTGAGACACTGGTTGCTA